CTAGAATACAAAGCCAGCAAATATTCCAGGGTAGATTCTGTCAGTGGCCAGCAGTTATGAGAGATGAGGAAGACAGGAGGGACCAGAAATCACACATGCTATTCCTGTAACAGCAGATTGGAGGTTTCACAGTGGCCCCTGGGCATCCCTTCACTAATCCCCCCCCCCCCTCAGGAGGCCATTTTCAGAAGTTTCTGACCTGTGTGGCAATACTTCCCTGAAAGTTGGTTGCAAATATGAGAGCTACCTATGAGCTCCCCTTATCTTTGTTCTTCTAGCATTTCCAACTGTTTCCTAAGTACCTGCCCATTTTAAATACTTTCTTGTGTCAAGTACCCAGTCTGTTTTTCTCACTGATGACTGACTGCTATGTCCCATCTCCTAATTTATATAAACTCGTGCTCAGGCATCGGCTTAACTAAAACCCCCCTTGAAAACCCTAATTTAGATGATCTGTTGTGGATCCCCAACCCATAAATTGTAAACTGATTTTAACCCAAAAGGTCACTCGTTTCTGTGACTTCCTTTTCTTCCCCTAGGTTTTGGAAAACTCTACGCAGATCTAAAAAAAAGAAACACCGATATCACCAACCTTCTGTGTGATACCTTGAGGTTGGCTACAGCATACATGTTTATCCTTAATATTTCCAGTTCCCTTTCACTTTATTTCCCTTGAATTATTTGTATATACATTTTATTTATGATTTTCCTAACCTTTTAAGGCAGGGACTTTTTGTTTGTTCCCTAGCACCTAAGAAATGTTCAAAGATGTTGATTAAATTAAATGTAAAAATGTGTGATTTCCTGTTTGCTTTTCTGGAATAAACAGCAGCTTACACATTTTAAATTTAAATTCACTTTAGCAGACATAAGCAAATCACTGAGCCTCTTTGGTTCTCTGTTTTTGATCAGCAGTTCCATTTTACTCCAGAAAGGCTTCCACTTCTGATATTCATGATGGATTTATGATTACACATTTCACCCCTGCCTTAATCTTGTAGATTTTAGGTGGTCTCTCTAGCTGATCTTTACACACTAAAGCTTGAGAGCCACTGCAATCAATGAAAACAGAGCTCCTTTTCTTTGAAATCCCTATGCAAGGAGTGAAATTCAAAGAATTTAAAGATAGAGGTTCTTTCTGAGATTCATATCTGGGAGGTGATGTTTAGAACCATGGAATTTGGGTGTTGGAAAGGTCCTTACAGGTCATTTAAAGTGAGACACTCATTAGCAAAATCAGCAATCATATCTAGAGTTTCACAGGCAGTTTAGGGCAGGACAGAAATCAGAATCCAGATATCCTGCATTTCTAGTGTCTTCTTTAAGATGGTTGTCATGTAAATTTGTGTGAGTGGTGAACTGAACAAATCCATGTCTGCCAGTCATACTGAGGACATGCATATGTATTAGTAGTTTTCTGAAGGGCAGCAGTCAAGTTCTAGTGAAATTTGTGCGTTAGATGATTTTCCACTAGATGCAAGTAAAGCATCTTGAGGAAGGGACACCATTTTTTAATATGGGCAGAGATATGACAGGCAGCCTCTCACTTGATCTTCAATACAACCTTGTGATGAATAGAGAATGTGCAGGCTTTAATTTTAATAATAAATACAATACAGAGGCAGTTTATGGAAATTTAAGTTATGCAAACTTGAAGTTGCTGACATAAAAAAAATTTATAAAGTTTGGCTGCATAAAATTGCAACCCTCTTAAAAGCTGGCAAGAACTGTAAATTCCAAAACTGGCTGACCCACTGAATTGCAAACCATGTTCACAAACTGGCATACAGACATGCCCCTTTATAGAGTATGACATGAACCACACGCTTATTGATGTGCACTGTAACCTTGCCATGTGACTTTAGTGACAATTGCGCTATTGGTTGCCCTATAAGCCTTTGGCTCAGAAGTTTTATATGATAAAGCACTTTGAACCCCTAGCCACTGCCCTCAGTAGTGTGCCATCTGCTAATTTGGGAGAGAGCAAACTAAACAGCACTGGGGAAGATTCTATAAAAATAAAATATAGACTTACCCCCACCCCATTCAAGTAAAAAAAAAACCCCACAGCAACAGCACTTCCCATCCTAACATCATTCCTCTGTGATAACCAGTCTTAAATTATGAGTATTTTAAGCTATGTGACGTGCTCAGGAGAGCACCCCTCACAGAAAACGCAGCTTCCCTTTAAAAATTCTCCATGTCTTAAAGGATTCTAACCCCAACTCTTATGCCTGAAGACAATGTGTAAAACTGGAAGAAGCCCTAAAGGTTTGCAATTTAATATCACATTTAGTGGTCCACCAAGGGGATATAATTCTCTGCCAAGCATCCCAGAAGTCAGATTTATTTTTTGCATGTTTTTCATTCTTTTTAGTGCACGGTGAGAGTTGTCATTGTGTAGAAAATGCTTTGTTGTTTTGTTGTTTTTTTTTTACCCCAGACACTAACAAACAAGGCTTGAGTTTGTTGCTAAGTCACCTTCATGGGTGTCTTTACAGGGCTTACTTTCATTATGCTTATTCATTCAATTAATAAAGAAGGCCAAGCTCTTTTACAGCCCCCGTCCCTGAATGATTAGAGGTTTAATGAGCTAATAAGCACAACATAGTTTTCAACTTCATGAGGAAATTAGCCTATAAACATGGGGCAGGGCATGCCCTGTAGTCTCTGCGGGGCGGCATCAGCAGATAGACAGGACTGCCTGCCCTCAACCCACAGCCTGAGGCTGGTGCTGCTGACCTCACCCAGTCCTTGGTCCTGGGCCATCCCACTGTGGGCTGCGCACATGCTCAGTATCGGTGAAGGAGGGGCACACGAATTTCTAAATTTTGATTTTTAGTATTTATAAAAAAGCATCCAAGGGATGATTATGAGGGAAATTGGAGCTTTGATAGAGGCTTACATTTAGCGATGTTCTTGTTTGGAATTGCACCCGTGGGGAGAGGGTGGTGTCATAATTATTTCAGTGCTTGGATCTTCTAACGGTCTTGTTATGGCCCCAAATCCACCACCCACTTTTAAAACAATTTCATCAAGAAATGTCAACATTTTATTTCCAAAAATATCTTTTTTTCCAAACAGGCAGCCTTCATGAAGGATTAAATTTTCCCACCAATACACATCAGAACACCTTGGACGTACAAATCTAAGAAAATTAAATCTTGCTTGGTTAGGAAGAAGCCCATGCTTTGAATTAAGAATTGATCTGAAAAGGTCTAAATCACAGTTTTAGAACAAGCCTCTCAACGACCTGCAGATAAACTGGGGTCCTAGAATTTGAGGACAAACATTCTTTTTCCATTTTTTGTCCAACTAAAAGAAGGGTTTACTCTCCATGAGCCCTGTGACAACTGCAACTTGTCATTTCCAAACATACATGACTTCTCTCCTCTTACACCATCTAAGATATGTGTGTGCATAAAAACAAAAGCTATATATTTGCACCACAAGTTTTCACATTTGGATCCCCTCCAGGCGCCATTCTGAATACGACACTCTGCTGCAGGGTACTAAAAATGGTGCTTTCTTCAAAATAAAACCTTTAAAGATCCCTTAGTAGCTATTTGGGGACTAAAATTCAATTTCAATTCCCCACCCTTTGGCCAGCTGTAGATTCAAAATGCTTACATAAAACAAAAAGAGTATGTACTTCATGGCAAATGTGATTTTTCTTCTGCAGTAAAAATCTGTGCTACAGTTACCACAAACTATATCTTTACTTAGAAAATACACAAAGCAATAATGCTCCGCAACAAAAGTTTTTTTTTACATTTTATTTGATAGGTAGCTTTGATATAAGCTTCAAATAGACCCACTTACTACACAGAGTTTGTGAAATCTACATCTTCAAATCATAATACTCTCTATTTTAGGACATTATATCTAAAAGCATGACTTTTATTCAAATATTTTTATTACAAGTAGTTCTTGCACATAAATGTTACATAACAATAGCAAAAAATGTAAACTTCTTTTGCAAACTACATAAATACTATAATATCTGCCTTGATGTTATTGTTATTTTAAAATCAGAATATACTCTAAATGCTTTACACAGACAATTTTGGTCAGTAGCCTATGTGTATGAAACGTTTTTTTCTTGCTGACCTGCCTTTCATGTTGCCTACTGAATTCTCTGAAGGAGAAAATTTTTAAGCAGAGCCCACATCAAAATTCAGTCCACAAGTAAGGCAAGAACCAGAAGCATGTTGGCAAATGTGGGCAAAGAAATATGAGATGTGAAAATTATTCCACATGCTGACTCGTTATAACAAGTCACTTGTGGTATGGAGGTACCTGAAAACAAGAACTTGAACTGAGCTCATCGTTGATCCTATATGGAAGGACTTCAGCCTGTATGTCAATATACCTTTTACTCTGTTGTATGTCTGTTTTCAAAGGAAACACCTCTCTCTCTTTTCTTTTAGAACACAACAGGTCATTTCTTCAGCTATAATCCTAGACTTGGAAGTCTAGGTGGCCAATGAATTTATTTCAACACTGTCTTTAAATACAAATCTGAAATGTATAAATATAAGAGGCATTCACACATTCATGCACAATCAGAGGACCACAACAAGGCCTTTTCTTTTTGTTTTTTTTTGCTTCAGGAAAAGTTTTCAATGTTGACCTTTTCTGTTATTACTTTACAGTAAATCCTTATCCTCAGAATGTTAAGCTAAAAATCAAGTTTTATCTGGAGCTCTTACCGATCTGTTATTCTGAAATTCCTATTGAATACCTAGCTACTGGCCATGGTTTCTTTGAGAGAAAAAAAAAATCATTGCTGAAGCACTTTTATAAATTTTAAATGCATGCAGAAAGAACTACATAGGCGTTCCAAGCAGCTACGTAAAGTGGCTCAAGTAACAATATTATTTATTTTGGCCTGAGCCTTTTACCAACATCTTTTAAACACAAAGAGAATGGCTACAAGATGGTGGCAGAGGCCAGAATGCGCATCCAGGCAGCCGGGCTCCGAGCGGTTCACAGGACAGACAGCGGGCAGGGATCCAGTGGGCTAACTTCCCTCTTCCTGTGCATTTTCCTTAAAAGCATTGTATCCTCCCTCCACTGCCCATGCTTTTAAACTATGTAAAACAATTCTTTCTTTAATCTAGCAATGATTAATGCAGACCTCAAATAACACTGTACACGGGCTTTGTTAGAGACAGGTAGCCATTTTCAACAGCTTTCCCCAGTGAGGTTGGGCAGGCAGAGGGCATCCATGGTTTAGGAACTGCTCTTGTTGCAGACCGTGTTTTGGCTGATACCATCTTCTGTGTACTGGCTGCCCGTATCGCTCCTGCTGAGGACCGTGGAGCTGATGCGGGCAGGCCGCCGCTCAGGGTTCTTCCGAGAGAAGCAGCAGATCATCTTCTTCATGGTGCTGTACATGTCCTCATCCTTGTAGGAGTAGATGACAGGGTTCATGAGGGAGTTGAGCAATGCCAACAGCAGGAACCAGCTTTTCACGTGCTGCAGGCCGCACTTCTTGCAATTCAGGCCGTCCAGCAGCAGAACTACCAGGCCCGGGGTCCAGCACACGACAAAGGCCCCTGGAGGGAGAGAAAAGCAAGCAACAGGTGCTCAGACCTCAGGCTGCTTATTTAGGTTTCTTCTGGCCCAGCCTTCTGTCAGTGGTATCAAGGGGCCTTAAGAATTTGTTCTGACAACTGCAAAGCAAACTTCCACCTTTCATCTGAGTCTGTGAGACCAGGGCTTGTTAGAAGCAAACAGCTGAGAACCCCTTGACTCTTGCCACATTCTATTTCACCTTCTTATCTGCTTACTCAGGCCTGGTAATTAGGGGTTTATATTTACCTCCTGCTTACTAAGCACTACACATTCCTTCTCTCTGGTAGTTCTTAGAACCACAGTAGCAGGCCGCTGCTGTCATTACCCACACTTTGCAAATGAGAAAACTGAGGCCCAAATCCAGGGGTATATATGGGGAGGCCTCACACACATAACCAAACACTCTGCTGTGCTCTAAATCAAATTTTCTAAATGCTTTCCTGAAAATAAGACACATTGCCTCAAAGGCATTCTCCTCATCTTTTAACTAAGTTGCCTGCTCAAAAATTTTATGCTTTATAAATCCATGTTGGTGCTTAGTAAGCACTAACATATTCATAGGCCATCTGCTTAATAATCTGCTCTAGACTGAGGTATTTTTGGTCAGAAATAAATCTCTTTTGTGATGAGAGATGTGCTTTTTAGCACATTTATTTATTTAGCACAATTTTAGCACCAATTGCACATGAAGGTAGTCTGATTCTCTAGCCATCTGATTACACCCAGCTTACCTCTGACATGTTTTTCCTAAAATACGAGACATAGGTACCATATTCCCCGAGTCAGTCCTCATAACCTTGGATAACAGTGACTATATCGTACTATGAACCAGCCACTGGTGTAAGTGCTTTCCATCAGAAACTCACAGAACCACACTATGAGGTAGGCAACATTAGCATCCCCAGGAAACTGAGGCACAAGAGAAGTTAAGTAACTTGCTCACGATCAAATAGCTTGTAAGGGACAGTAATTTTGACCCTAGGCAGTCTTTCACCATATGCTGCGCTCCCTGGTTGCTGTGTGACCAGCCTCCAACTGTGATGTGGTTGCTTTCTCCCAGAGTCCTGCCTGATCGTTTCTAAATGCCCTTGTTTATCCATTCAATAAACATTCACGTGAGCTTAAAATGTGCCAGGAGCTATACAAGACAGTCAATGCGGTGAAGCCCGTGCGCTCCAGGAGCCAAAGGGCTAAGGGGAGTGAGGGAATAAGCAAGCAAGACTGCAAACCACCTCACCAACTAGTTACTCTCACTGGTAAAATTAGTCCATAACAGTATTCCTCTTGTTACTTTATCGTCTTTCTGAGAGGTATAACAATAAGCAAGTCAAGTCAAGGATTATAAAGAGTCAGTGTGAGGCCATGAAACCCTGCGAGCTATGGAGTCAGACAGGTACGCCCAGCTCCTCCCCTTATGAGCTCCAGGAAGGAGGCAAATGAATCATTTATCTGAGTCTTCATTCCCTCACTTATAAAATGGGGATAATAACTACAACTGTGGAGGGGGGGTGTGAAGGTCAGCGGTAATGGAAAGCGGTGCCCAACAACAGGTTGGGTTTGCTAGGCAGTGGCTACCTCGCGATGCCAAAAGAAGACGCCTAGGAGGTATCCGAGAAGTTTAATTTTCCACTTCCTAGTTGCAGTGCACCAATGGCTTCCTATTTTCTTCATCCTGTATTGTTTTTGGTCTGGCTGACATATGTGAATAAAGAAGTGGACTTAGAGATACAGCTCAGAGATGTGGGTCCCAGCTCTTCACTTGCTGACAACCCTAGGAGACCCGTGCCGTAGGCCTGGGCTTCAGCTTCCTACACTGTGAATTTCAGGCTAGTTCTGGGTTTTTTGTATTGTGGGTCAGGACCCCGTAGTGGGTGTACAATCAATTCAATGGGTTTGGACAAGTTCTTTTTTCCTTTAATAAAGGAATGGAATGGAAATGCTCATATTGTACTACATAGACTAAGAGAAGTATTGTTTCATGAAACTTCTGTGTCAGTTTTACAAACTATATATATGTGCATTGGGTATGAAGTAAAACATTTCGTACTTTGGGCTTCATGAAACTTTTCAGTTTTACAAGCTGTATTCATGAGTGTATTGGGTATGAAGTAGAACATTAGTTCTTGCTGTTGGGCCAAGTCACAAAGTTTGAAAAATACTAGTGTAGGTAATCTTTAAGGCTCCACTGAGCTCCAATGGTCTGTATTTCAGAACATAACAGTGACATTTTTGTTCTGTCCGCTGTTCCCAAGAGGGGGTTCTATGTTGTCCAGAGGGAAGAACTAAAGGAACCAGACATCAAAAGCTGTAACTACGAACTTTGCTGTCAAGAGTCCTTTTCATGTGAAATTGCAGATTTCCAAAGAAATTCCTTTAGGGATGTTTAAGTTCCTTGTGTTAATGAGAAGGAGGGAAAAATACTGATTAAATTTTTACTTTGTTAAATACAAGTGACAAAACCTGATAGAGTATGTAACTTCTAAACCAATGGGAGGGGAAGAATGGGAACTAAAGGAAAGGAGAATAAATGTCAAATCAAAAAAAAAAAAAAAAAAGGAAAGGAGGGTGGGAAGCAAAACTTAGGAGAGTGGGACAATTAAAGAACTAAACAAGATGCTGGAAATGGGTCCAACTATACTGAAAACCAAACTCAGCATTAATTGTGGTATAGTTTTAAAAAGCTGGTGACTCTGAACAATCTTATGTTTCACAGAGCAGCCATACGTGGTAAGGCCATGAGAAAAAGCAAGATGATGAACAAAAAATTTACGATACGGTTATTTCTACAGGAGAGAGAGGGCCGCTGGGAGGGGCACACAGGGGATATTGGTGATGCTCCATTAAATTGGGTGGCAAGTACACAGGTACTTTTACATGTTTTGATTCTTTAAACTGTATATATCTTCTATAATTTTGTTTGATATAATTCACACACACAGAAACACATCAAAAAAAGATAAAAGTAAATTAACAATATGTTTTCCTAAAAACTTTTTTTAAAGGGATTTAAAGATATCATAAAAGCTTTTTTCCCCTTCAGCATGAAATTCTAGTTTGGATTAGTCAGAGAACTGAAACACTAAATAAATTTTCAAATCTATGCTCTGTTTGTTATATGTGGTTATTCATATACATTTTTCCTTTGTATCGAGTTGCATAATTCATTCAATCAACACCTGACAAACCTTTCACTGAGCAATCATGACATGCCAGGCACTGTCCTAACCAATTTATATGAATTAATCATTTAATCTTCATAGCAACCCTTGGAAATATGTTTTAAACACATTTTAAACCTGAGGAAAGTAAAGCACAGAGAAGTTAGGTGATATGCTCAAAGCCACACAGCTGATAAGTGGAGAGCCAGGATTTGAACCCAGGCAACCTGACACCAGAACCTGTGCTCCTGTCCACATGCTAGGCTGCCCAGCAGAGGGCCATAAAGGATCTTATTACTAAAGTGAGTGATGGGAGAGGGGGGAGGGGGAGGTACTTCTGGCCTTTGAAGTCATAGTATGTCATAGTTGACTATGAAGCTGCATATATCACAATTAACTCATTCTTTGGTTTGCTAACAGAAAGATTTTCTGGTCATGAAAAGAAGGAAGGAAGGAAGGGAGGGAGGGAGGGAGGGAGGGGAAAGAAAAGAAAGGAGGGAGGGAAGGGCAAAAGAAAGGAAAGAAGGAAAGAAGAAGGAAGGGAGGAAAGGGAAAAGGAGGGAGGAAGGAAGGGAGAATTCCAACAAAAACATATGCTGGCCATGGGAGTAAGAAGAGAAACACAAATCTGCTGACCTTCTCTTTATACTGTTTCCAAGAATGACAAAAGGCAAGTCTTCTTTGACAGAACAGCCCCAGTGCCCTAACTGCTGCGCGAGAGACGGGTGCTTGAGCGGTGTGGGCTGAGATGAGGATTGTGCTCGGGCGGTAACGCTGGGAAAAACCACTGAGCTCTCCAACTCCTCGGCCCAGGACGCCTCAGAGCAGAGGCACCGTTTATCTAGCAGTTCATTCTTTGGGGTTTTTACTATATGTCAGCAGCTAGATATGAGGCTGCCCAAAACATTTCAAAGGAGAGTATGTCAGGAATGGTTTGGCCTTGGGAGAATTCTTGGAGAATGTGTGAGAGTCAGACACAATACAAATGGTCTATTTCTTAAAAGAGCGGCGGATGATGGATCCTAGGAAATACACCATCCGTCAGTCTCCCCTCAATTTCCAATAAATTTTGGAAGAAAAAAACAAAAACAATTTTTTTGAGTAGACAATGCTCAGACCACAAAAGCTGAAACAAGCAGTTTTCAAAGAGAGCAAGCCAAGCCCAAGTCACACTTAAAAAAAAAAAAAAAATCAGGCAGTAACAAATAGGAGTGGGAATCAGGTGGTATGTCTCTCTTGGAGAAGAAAAGGCAAAGGAAAGACATGATGGACCATCACATAGAAAGAGGGAAGACAGACCTACCCTGGTCCAGTAGGTCCCCTGAAACAAATGGGAAAGTACAAAGAGGCAGAATTTGGATGTGAAATCTCTTTTAAGTAAGTGAAGCTATTTAGGAGAGGAGTTGTTCAGAGGCCAGAGAGCCCCGAGGCCTTGAGCAGGGTGTTTCCTTGCCTGAATTTTCCGGAGATGTTCAAAGGGAAGCGACTTTTCCCAAACAGGAGGAAGTGGTTTCTGAATGCTTTTCCACATAGAAAATTGCTAAATTCCATAAAACTGTGAGTTTCAACTTCCCATAAAAATCAAACAAATTTGACCTGTTTCCTAAACTTAATTGTAAGACAGTATAGCTAAATACCAATAAACATGAATTCCCTGAGCTAGCGGTTCTCAAACCTGACCGGCCATCAAACCGACAAGGGGAGCTTTTTACCAATGCAGATTTCCTGGCTCCATATCAAACCCAGGAGTCACGGCCCTGTGGGGGGGGCCATGGAAATTTGTAGGACTCAACCATTTCTCTGTGCTAACCCCAAATGGTTTA